GTGTGTGTGTGTGTGTGTGTGTGTGTGTGTGTGTGTGTGTGTGTGTGTGTGTGTGTGTGTGTGTGTGTGTGTGTGTGTGTGTGTGTGTGTGTGTGTGTGTCAGCCAGCCGCTCTGCACTTATTAAAGTTTGGCACAGCAGGGAATGCTCTGTGTTTATTTCAAGGATCATCTCTTATGTAACCGATGATCTCACTGCTTTTAGGGCAGAATAAAAAATCAAATGTTCCCACTGATCTCCTGCAGCAGATGGGCTGAACACACTCGCAGCTGAAAGTGGTGCTAGGGATAGTAAACAAAGAGTGTAGTTAAAGGGCAACACGCTGCATTTCTGCATATACAATTAATACATAGTGTTTGTTCACCTTTTGATCGGGGTTCTTACTGTAGACTTTATTTTGTTAGTACTTGTGGGTTATCTGTCGCCGCTTTTTTTGTTTGTGTCAGACTCTCTGAATACGCACTTTTGTTAGGGTTGGAAAATTAAAGAAAAAAGTGGTGACAGATAACCCACAAGTACCATTTATTTTATTTACAATAAAAAAAATCACAATCATACCTGATAACAAATGATAAACAGTGCAAGAGGAGGCAGAAAACACACGGGGCTTATATTATAATAATAATAATAATAATACATGTTATCTATAAAGTGCTTTTCCCGGTGCTCAAAGCCTTCCTGTTTCTTTTATAGAAAACACATTGATCGATATTAAAAACAGTAGCTTATATGATGGCACACAGGTGGTGGACATCTGATGATTGCATAGAAATGAAAGTGTGAATTTGCTTTAAAGTACGCAGGAATGTTCCTTTATCTGAAAGTATTCTGTAAATGAAAACACATTCGATAACTGTTAATGTCACAATTTGACATTGTCTCTGTGTTTGTGTGTGTGTGTGTGTCTTGCTGTGTGTGTCTCGGTGTGTGTGTGTGTGTGTGTGTGTGTGTGTGTTGCAGGCTGTTTGAGGAAGCAGCCACTAAGCTGAACCTGGTGGCTCTGGTTGGTTTCCTGCAGCAGCTCAGGAAGGCTTCTCAGTGTCAGCTGTTCCACTCTGTGACCGAGACCGGAGACTACTCACTGGCAATGCCAGGTACACACACACACACACACACACACACACACACACACACACACACACACACACACACACACACACACACACCACATGCTCTATAAGTTACCTTACATTGAATTAATTTATAGTAAAATACACTTTGCTTAAGAATAAACTTGGTCAAAGTTTTCCATCTTCTATTCTTTGGAGATCATTTTGTTTTTACAGATTAGCAAACTCAAAAGCCCTCGTTGGGATTCATTGGCAAACCTTTGGGGAGCTAAATGAGAGGAAATAAATGCTCCTGTGTTTTCAGGAGAGGCCAAATCGACTCTGGAGCGTCGCAGCGCTCTGCATCTCTTCCGACTGGGCGAGGCCATGCTGAGGATCGTCAGGAACAGGAACCGGCCCCTGCTGCACATGATGAGGGCCTGGAGCGTCGTGGCCCCCCACCTGGTGGAGGTGAGGAGCCTCTTTAAAATAAGATGGGGGTTGGTGCTACACGCTGTCATGTGCAAAGATCCTCTTAAAGGTCTCCTATCAGGCAAAATGCACTTTTTGATGTCTTTTCTACATCAATGTTTCCCCGGTGTGTCGGGGAACTCACGCAGCGTCAGAAAATAAAACCCTCTCTCTTTTCCTCCGTACCCAAATCTCTAAAAACGGGGGAACAACGGAGCTGATCCAGATTTGCGTCCGATATGACGTAATATCTGAAATGCGGACCCACAGCCCAATCAGAAACGTTGCTATCAGAAACAATGTTTTGGACATAATATGGTCGGTGTTTACATTAGCATCGCTAACACTCAGAGCTAACCTGTACTGGAGAGCATGTGTGTGAAGAAGCAGGAAGTCACTTGTGGTGAGAGGAGAGAGAGAGAGAGAGAGAGAGAGAGAGAGAGAGAGCGAGCGAGAGAGAGAGAGCGAGAGAGAGAGCGAGCGAGAGAGAGCGAGAGAGAGAGAGAGCGAGAGAGAGAGCGAGAGAGAGAGAGCGAGAGAGAATCCTTGATGTGGTTTGGAACATGATATGGAGTTTAATCATGGCAGCATTTAGCTGAATTTCTGCTGGTAGAATTCTCCTGCATAAGCTCCGCCCCCTTTTTCGTATAGTTACAGACCCAGAATCAGCACTTCTCTAACAGGGCTGAAATAGAGGGGTATGATTATTAGGAGCATGGCTAGAATAAACACTTCATAGACATGTTTTTATATATTTCTAAATATCTGAGACCCATAATAAATGCCTAAAAATATTATAATAGGAGACCTTAGAGACTTTGTGTTTGCTTAAACGTATACCTTGTGGTTTAAATGATCTTCTCGTCGCAGGCGGCCTGTCACAAAGAGCGCCACGTTTCCCAGAAGGCCGTGTCCTTCATCCACGACGTGCTGACGGAGGTGCTAACGAGCTGGGCGGAGCTTCCTCTCTTCCACTTCAACGAGGCGCTGTTCAGACCCTTCGAGCACATCATGCAGCTGGAGCTGTGCGACGAGGACGTGCAGGACCAGGTGAGGAGACTCTCTGCAGATCTCACGCTTGTATCTCAAGTCTCATTTCAGTCACAGATGAAATGTGTCAGTCCTCATGTAAACTACGGCTGTCAACAGACTGGAAACCTTCTGCTCTCTTGTGTTCGACAGACATGCAGATTATCATATTACCTGTTATGTTTAGCATGTCTTATGTCCCTTTTGGTTCCTGCTCCTCTGTATGAAGTCATTGCTTTTCCTTTGTAACTTGGTCGGATCAGGTTATCTGTCCTTCCAGCTGGAAATAGATTGATTCTTAAATGCTATAACTCTTTATTAAATAACACAACTTTGGTTTAAGCTTGTATATTTGTTATTTCCTTACCAGAAGGTGGTTAAATCTGGAATTTGCTCCACAGCATCAATCAATAAAAAGTCCCCTGCAGCAGCTTCATGTGTCTGATATGTGTCCCTGCAGGTGATCACCTCCATCGGGGAGCTGGTGGAGATGTGTTCCCCTCAGATCCTGTCGGGATGGAGGCCTCTGTTCAGCGCTCTGAGGACGGTCCACAGCAGCAAGACGGACACCAAGGGGTACCTGCTGGGGGAATACTCCATGGGTACGTTTTAGAAAACTCTCCCTGGTCCCCGGCTTGAGCTTCAGTCTCAGGATCCATGTATCTGTGATCCTCTCCAGAATGGAAGTAGTCATCACATACAGAGCATCAACTAGTTCCTGAACAGTGTCCTTCACATGCTGATATCCAAGAGAGGGAGTTACACAGTCACAAGATGGAGGAATAAATCTGACTTTTTCTCAAAATGTTGACTTTTTCTCAAAAATCTCAAAA